GCAGAGGAGGCCGTGTGCCTGGCTTACACTAGACTCCTAACTTGTAATGAACTGATGTAGGTGACAGACATCCCATCCCTTCAGTCTTACGCAGTTAACTACAGCACAGTTTGGTGTCTGGCAGATCGAGAAACATTTTCTGAAGACAATAAAGCCCTCAAAGTAACCTTGGCTAGACATATTGATAAAACTTGAGAGTCATAAAAATGATGTTAGGTACCTCATTAAGCACTAAATGTAATTTAGGATGATATAAGAATCTATATGAAACAAATATTGGACTGTATAAAGAAACATTAAAGGTTTGATGAAGTAGCATTGGTAGCTGGGAGAATGAGGTGTAAAGAGTCTTCTGATATAATCTGTGGCTGAACTAGGTTTCTCATCATGATTAAAGACATGATCTGTTGTCACCAGTACTTATGGGAGCTTTCCTAGAAACAGTTAAGGCCACAAAAAAGTCTGAAGTGACACGTTTAGAACCATTCTAGATTTTTTTTGTTGTTTTTTAGTAATTTGTATGGATCAAAAATTCTGAAAAATAGGAACATCCATGTGAATTTAATGTTTCTTTCTCCCCCTGCACCCTTCCCTCACATTTCCAAGCAGAATCCCAGCTCCTAGTGCAGGGGGGGAGGTGGCTTTTGCTTGGGTGTTTTAAAACTGCCTCCTTATAGAATAAGCTTTAAATTCACCTTTTGAGGAGAGGAAGGTTTGAAGTGATCCATAGCATTACAGTGACATTTGCTAGCATGTTCCAAGGAACTGGTCACCAGTCTCGTTGAAATATTTTTTCTCAGTGGGCTTCACACTGTTCGCTCAATTCTTCGGCAGCTTGTACTCCTTGGTAATAGCAAGGTGATGATCAGTCAGGTAGAATTCCTGTCCCCACTGAAATCAATAACAAAATTCCCACAGACCTCAATGGAACAAGCAGCTTGAGCATCCTAATATTTTATGCTTTACTCTGCTTGTTTAAATACTCTCAATTTCCTTGTTTGAAATGGACCGTCTTTTTTACTAGGGCTGCAAACAGCATATTGCTTTTCTGTTTCCAAAGCGAAAGTATCTTTTCCTGTTTCCAGGGATGTTATCTGTGTACTTATTAGCCATGATCCATCCATCCATTTCTGAAAGAACAGTATCTGTCATTGGTTGTCTGGTTGATATCAGGATGATCAAATGGATTGGGACAGATTTCACGGTTAGTGTATAGTGGCAGAGCCTTGCAGGTTCAAGACCAGGCCTACAACTTCTAGTGAAACTTTAAATATACAAAACCCGAAATTATACCACAGACTACAATACAATTGCTTGTCCATGGCAATAGAAACACGGTACGCTCACCCATAGCAAAAGGTCTTTCTCCGTCCTAAGAATCTGTTTTATGAAAGAAATTATTTCTGAAAGCTGGGACTGAGAAGAATGGAAGAAGTTTTCAAGGTAAAACTGCTGAACATGCTGAGTGGGCAGATGGGAACTACTAGTCACGAGGGGTTCCCAAGGCTTATCATCATTGAGAGTCTTACTCCCTGTATTGTTTAATCCCATTCAACAGTTATGGGCATGTTGGCAGATTTACAACAATAATATAAAAAAATAGTAAGATCTTAAAAATTTTGTGGAATGGGTGTCCCAGATTTGTGTCACTTCTAACAAAAAAGCTGCACATTCATTAGAGAGCCTACACAGCGTGCTGGTACAGCTGTCTCAGCCACGGGAAAAGGCATGACCTAAACCTACGTATCAAGAGACACAGGATAATTTGGTCACAAGACAGAAAAGTGCATCGAGTCCACTTCATTAATTCCTCTTCTCACAGAGCTGCTTCTTTGCATTGTATGTGCAGATGTACAGACATCTCACAGTCCCAGATGGACACAGGAAGCTTTAGCAAGAACTGTCGCACAACTGTGTGACATGTAAGGGTCTTCTGTACAGCAGCCAGCAGAACTACAAGTTTGCAAAGCAGATACCTCTGGAAGTTTTGCAAAGTCTGTCTGGACAGTATCTGTTCTCTGGCCAGCATGTACAAGAGAGCAGAATCCCGTCTTGGAAGAGAAGTAGAAAGGGAAATGGGAAACAGAAAAAGTAAAGTTTGAAAACAAACATGAAAAGGGGCCTCACTGGGTTGAGGAACCTCGTGGCTAGTTGGACTCTGACTTCAGTGGGTATAAGGCCGTGCTTGAAGAATCACAGACCCATGGAGGTTGGAAGGGACCCCCAAAGGTCTCCAGTCTGACCTCCTGAATCAAGCACATCCCATTGGAGCAGGTTACTCAGGGCCTTGCGTAGGCTGGGTTTGGACACCTTCAAGGATGGAGACTCCACAGCTTCTCTGGGTGCCTGTTCCAGTGTCCAGCCATCCTCGTGGTAATTTTTTTTTTTTATAGAATCAGAGAATGTTTTGGGTTAGAAGGGACCTCTAGAGGTCCTCATGTTGAGCAGGAATTTGATGTTGCAACTTGCTTTCCTTATTGTATACTGCAATATATCCCTGCCAAGTCTTCTCTTCCTAAGGTTGAACAAACACAGTTCTCTCAGCCTTTCCTCACGTGTCCCGTGCTCCAGTCCCCTGACCATCTTGTTGGCCTGGCATTGGATTCACTTCAGTGTGTCCTGTCCATCTTGTACTGGCACCCCAAACCAGGACACGATCCTCCAGGTGTAGTCTCACAAACACAAGAAGGCAAGAATTGTTTGCCCCAGCCTGCTGGCTACACTCATACTAATACAGCCCAGCATTTGGTTGATCAGGGAGGCACTGCTGATGCACTCATGTACTCATGTTAGAGTTGTGCACTGGGACCCTCAGGACTTTTTTTTGCAAAGCCAGTCTGTATGTAGCAAGTTTTTGCCCAGCTCGTCCTGCTGCATGGGCTTGTTCCATCCAAGACATGGGAGTTTTCATTTGGCTTTGTTGTACTCCCTGAGGTTTCTCTCAGCCCATTTCTCCAGCCTGTGACTCCAAATAGCAGCCTTGTCCAGCAGTGTTTTGACTGTTCCCCCAGTCTGGTGTTATCAACAGACTTGCACAGAGTGCAAAGGAACCATAAGCCGAAGTTCTTCACTGAGATAGGTCTTCTCACTGAAAAGTCTTTATGTCTTGTGAGCAGGATGTGAGGAGTTGCAAGCACAAGCAGCTTCACGTTATGAGCTTATAAATAACATTCCGGTGAGAAATAGCTCTCTCAAGGTCACTGCACGTAGTCCTCTACTGCAGGGTGAAGTTAGTACCACTTTATCACGAGTCCGTCATTGGATAGAGCAATGGAGGACAATTTCTTGAATTTGATTTACTCTTTGGACTGTGTTTCAGGATGTGTTTCAGGACTTAAGTATATAGACTGGGGGAGGGAAGGGAAACTGTATATCATCTGTCTGGGGCAGATCAGCCATGTGAGACAGTCTTTAACCATTGGAGTAGATTTCACAGTCTGAGTATAGGAGAGGAGTTTGTTTTCCTTTAGCTGGTCTCCTCTCCATCAGATGATTTCCAGTCTGATATGATCACATCTGTGTGATTTGTGTAACGTGTCCAGATTATTCATTTTAGAGTTATTAGCTTCATTTTTGCTATCTGTTGGTTTTATGCACTGAGCTTTTAACCCTTGGGATGTTCCCAGAACTGCCAAATTGTTCCCCTATTGTGTGTTCGCACTGACATTTCTTAGTATTTTCTGTCCCTTCATGGAAGGTTGTGGGCGCCCAATAGCAATTCCCAAATCCCTAAAAAGTGATTAGCAATTATTGTTCTGTAAGTGCTTAATCAGGAGATTAAGACAGGCCACCAGGTGTTTATGCAATAACGCTCGGTAGCATGGAAATTCAGCTCTAGCTATTGCATGGCGTAAGGAGGGTAAATGCCTGCCCTCAGAGAGATCAGCAATTATTTTGATGCTGGTATTGTATCCCATTTTCTCTAGCAGGTTGTGCAGTTCTATTATTTTTGAACTTTTCATTACCTGATAGGGGTTTATCTGTGTTTATAGCAGCAGGATTGATCAGTAACCACAAGATCAGTTTCTGTTAAAGGTATTTTTCTTGCACAATCAGTAAGTTGCAAAGCCGCGTTTTTAGTCCGCCCCTTTGTATCAAACATGGCATATTTGTATACAGCAGCAATGGAAGGGGGCTACGCTTCACATTGCAGGTTTGAAATAAGTGATAGCGAAATAGCTTAGGAGCAGAGCAAATGCTCTTCTGTGGCAAATCGTACCATTCACAGTGTCTTTTTTCTTTTCTGTTTCAGGAGGTTGGAAGCATTATCGGAAAGGTCAGGAAATTACTTTCTCTCTTTATTTTCATGTCAAAATATTGTGTATCGATTCACTTCATCAGCCCAGGCTAACTTTTCTTCTGTTTCTTTAACAGAAAGGTGAGACAGTTAAGAAGATGAGGGAGGAGGTAAGACAAGCCTTGATGTCTTTACTTGCCTTTCTTTCCAGCTCAGAGAACAGGGAAATACAGTGTGCACAGACCGATACTGCCATCAAGTGGGCACTTAATTTAACATCACCATTCTTTGCAAATGGTGGTGTACAAGTGTGCCGGCCTAAATTAAACATCCTTGTTAATGTAACCAACCTCCTTATCGCCTCAGCAGTCTGGAGCCTTTCATTCCCAGAGCAATATGCCTGCTGCTGTCTTGTCTCAGGAACAACTTCACCAGCATGATTCTGTGCATCAAAACCACTGTATCTTTCTTTAGCATACCAACATGCGTCCTGCATGTGGCTTGGCCTGTTGGTAGAGAGCTTCTAAAATCTGAAACCAAGCATTAGACTGGTGCTACCTAAAGTTTGAGGGCAGACACATGCTTCAGCAGAGCTGGAACCAGACTGGCATAAGCCAAAGTATCCCTCTACCATCTCTTGGCAAATCCTTAACTTTTTGTGGTTTTGCAGCTATGAGTAGGATGTGGACAGGGTAGACCTGCACACCCACCATTCATGTCCTTTTTAAAGGTTGTAAACACAAAAAGGCTAACTAAAACATGGCACTGCCTAAGCCTCAGTCTCCCCAGTGTATGCAGGCTTCTTTCCCTGCTGCGCAGCAAAGCTGCACTGTCTCCAGAGGTTTGTGCCCAGGTGGAAGTTACAGACCCACATTTGTCCTGCAAGGCAGCACATCTCACCTGGAGATCCACGTAATTTTCCCTCTTTGAAGCAAGTGCTAAAAACATAACTCAGAAGACAAATCCTGCTGTTTAAATCTTTAGGAGTGCAAAATGTATAGAGGATGCCTCAAGAAAAGTCAATTTGGTTCTGGTAAATCTACAGTGCATTACTTTGTTAGCTGCTTTGTTGTTTTATACGCTGGTAGAAGGTCTGTGGCGGGGAAATCTCAAAGTATTTCTAGTAAAGAAAATTGCCGAGATCCATCTTTAAATATACACAACAGGGAGTTCATTGTCAGGCTGGCTGAGTTCAGAGCTCCTTTTTTGATGATAAGAGCTTTCACCCGTGTTTTCACACATAAGTACATTTGCTAAGACTGAATAAAAATACAAGGAAAAAATGTGTCCAATATACTAGATAATCCTGCCAGTTAATTAAACACATTTTAGTTTAATTGCTAATTATGATCATGGGCAGATATCTTTGGATATAAATTGCATGCACAAAAGGGAAGCCATCACTGGAGAGTGCTCCTGACTTCTGAGTTAAACATCTTAGAGAAGAGTTATGATCCCTTGGTTAGTTTTTCTAGATAAATACCAAATGTTGTTCTTCTACTCCTGAAAACCTACTGTCATGTACACGTGGTCACAAGAGGCTTTATTTGTTTGGTTGGTTTTTTTAAAATAAAGGAATTATATGCATCTTTATATCAGCACAGGACTAAGAGGCTGTGTCTCCACATGATGATAACCTGGTCCTCCTTTAAATGACTACCTACTTTGGTACTTCTTTAGAAGCAAAATGCAACTTTAATTTTACCTTCCTGACAGACGTGGCAAGTTGCACACCATCTTTATGGAATGAAATGCAACTCTGTCTTCCTCTGTCGTTAGGGAAATACCAGAGACAACTTTGGGCCTAAAGAAAAGTACAAAAACCTCGCTTCTGTGCCCTGTGGGTGTTAACTTCCTACACAAACATGGAAGGCGGCCACATGACATTTTAATTGCCATAGCTCTCTTTTGACCGGTCATCTATCGGAGGAGTAGCCTCTGTCAATTTTGGCTTTTCCCACCGCCCCGGCCCCGCCTGTGGTGGTGGCAGCCAGACCTTGCCACCAGCAGGAACGAGCCCTGGGCCCTGATCTCCTTCCTCATCCTCTGCTGGTGTTTGAGGGGGGCAAGCGCCACTCGGGTTGCCTGTCAGAAGAGGTGCCTGCTGCCCTTTCTTATCTACAAACGCCGAGTATGTCCACCAGCCAAGACCATGGCAGCAAGATTTTTATATCAGTAGTGTTTTGTTTTGGTTTTTTCTCTTGCTGTGTTTGGTTGCTGTCGTGTGGGGGAATACGGTATCTTGCTGTTGATCAGCCATATGCACATGAATAAAGGCACAGACAGAGAGCACACCGGCTGTTTGGTGGTAACCCTGAAGGCAAAGGGCCAGATTAACCCAGATTATCTCATGCTTGCTACAGGCCCAGGTCCTCGAGAAGGTCAGTGCCTGTGGATGAGGCTCCAGTGACTTGTTAGACTGCACAAACACATTTCTGTGCCTTAAACCTCAGAGAAAGCATAGGGTGGGTCTTACCTCAACAGGCTTTGTTCATTATCTACACCAAGATCCTCTTATATTTACATAGCCTCTATATTTACATCTACTTTAGGGGTTTTCTCTGCACTGCCACATTGACATAAAGAGGACTAAGTATATCTGAGAGCAATGCTGGCTTGTCTCCAAGACTTACCGTTTCCTAACTCCTTCCAACAGTCTCCTTGCCTTAAGGAGATACCGCCATCACTGTTGCCTGTCCTACTGCTACTCCTTTGAAGAGTTGTTCAGTGCATATTAATTGATTGCCTTCACATGAGACACATCTATACGGAACCTTCTCCACAGTGCAAAGTGATGCCTCAGCTAGACAGACCGAGCCCTGCCTTTGGGTCTTCAAATCACAGAGGTGCATCTTTCCCGGGAGATGCTGATGCTCCCTGGAGACAACCACCTCATCTGAAATTCCGCAGCTCTGGTCCTACTTAAGGTTAACCCTGCAAGAGGGAACGGAAGAGACTTGATTATGCAATTATTTGCAACTTTGAGTTGCAGAGGTGCTATCTGCATACTGAGATGAAACCTGTATAAGTATTTACCCAGACAGAATCCGGCTTCCCGCAGTCAGATGAATTTTTGGAGTGCGATCAGTTTATGCTGAAATTATATGATGTTGGGGCTGTAGTTGTAGCAGTGTGAATTAGATGCCTCAGGATATTCCTTCCCAAATTATATCCCTAATCCTACTTAGTTTGCTCCCTGGGAAGTATAAATTTGAAAAATATTTGTTCTTTTTGACAGAGTGGTGCTCGAATCAATATTTCAGAAGGCTCCTGTCCAGAGAGAATTGTGACAATAACGGGCCCAACAGACGCAATTTTTAAAGCTTTTTCTATGATTGCACTAAAATTTGAAGAGGTAAGCAAATAAAATATGGTTTTTTCTCTCTTCAAGTTGAAATACAAACACTGAATTTTCTGATGTTTGCTTTAATGTTAAATATGATTTGTTTAATGTTCTATTTAATAGCAATGAAAGTGGTTGTATTTTTATAAATGCTTTTGGCAGTAATGCTGAATGGGTCAATTTACAAGCTGTTTGATCATTTCTTTTGCTTTTTGGAGGCTTCAGGGAAAAGCAATTGCTTCTAGTAATGTGCACTAATGGTAGGAAAAATGTCTTGGAAAATTTCTGGTCCCATTGTGGATTTGATTTGAAAAGAATAATTGCCTAACTTTTAGCTCTGTTTTTATATTATTCCATTTGGTATTGATGTAAATTTTATATATGTCAAAATGAATATATAGTTCATTCAACTAGAAAATTTTTATTTTAAAAACAAACTATATGACTACCAGTTACCATATTTAAAGCTTGGCTTTTAAAATTAATTAAAATAAAGGCACTAGGAGTAAGTGAGGCGAGAGCTCTCAATTTACTGTAGAATTACAGTTCTGTGCAGATATGTACCTAAAGTGCTGGGATCTTTTCAAGTTTCATGGACCAACTATGATTAGTTATGGTCACTGCTTTAAGGGGAAACCTCACAGAAAAGGCAGCAGGCTACAGAAGATGAACCCTGGCCACTCAGGGGAGGATTTAACTCCCTCAACGTTCAAAAATCAGACGTCCAGTCCAGACATCTCCCCTGTCCCCTGTGGAGAGACAGAGGCCCCTGCAAAAGGCAATTTACCTTCTGCTGAAGGAAGAGCCTGCAGATAGGTGGGCTGAATCACCTGCAGCAGGAGAAAGGGGCTGTCTCTCCATCTGTACATAAACTAAAGGGGCTTGAATCCCTTTCTTATGAGTACTTATTTCTCCAAGTCAGTGAGGTTGCTCTCCACATCTCCCCATAGCACTGGGAGTTGTTGGCATCCATGGGAAATGTCAGCATGTGCCTGTATTTATCCATGGCAATTGTTCACATTTAGAGTAACAGGACTAGAAGACAGTTTCTGGGTCATCAGATACTGTTGTCTTCTAGCATAGGCAGTATGTCTTGCAACCTCCTTCACAGCATGATCTAGTCAGGTTTTTTCCTACTTTTTCCTGATACTGGATCCACAACCCCAGTTCTCTGATAATTAGACACCTTCTTTTCACTGCTCACTTAAATTTATTCATGAGCAGTTTACACAGCTTTGTTCCTGTGCCAGCATTGGCCATTAGTTTAAATAATTCTTGCCTTTCCATCCCTGAGGATTCCCCTCTTAGACGTATTTCTAGAAACCAGTTTTATCCCTTCACACTCTTGCTTTTGCCAGAGTAAGGGAGCCAAGCTCTGTCTTTCAGAGGACACATTCCCCATTCCTTCGTCACTCTACTGGTCCCTTTCTACGTTTTCCCAGTTACAGTTTGTGTTAAATGTATGTGTTAATTGGGGATGGGTTGCAAATGAAGTTCCATGAGGGGTTATTTAATGGTGCTAACAGTCCTCTGTCCTGGCTATCACACTAACATATCCCTACCGCTGCTGAAAATGCCTCAGCTCCTTCTAGTCTAATGTTTTGCACACAACCATGCTCTGCCTGGCGGGTACCCCCAGCTCCCACTCCGGTGTTTTCAGTGGGAACCTCTTCAGTCTCAGCAGACATTCCTGCCAGCCCCCAAACAAATGACCCTTTTTTTTATACTGGAAACATTAATCCCATTTATATCTCTCCGATCTTCCATGGGTTTTCAGATCTTCCTGTGTGATATTCTAATCTTTCAATATGTTGATGAACTACCCTGGGTTTGTGGCATGGCATATTTTACAAAAACGCTATTTTTTTTTCCTTACCAGTTATTAATGAGGTAATAATGATTTCAGGTTGAATCCTGCAGAACCACACAAGTAATAGTCTCCAGCCCGATTTTAAAATTACCTGTTTCCACCTCCTTCTCAGCTTTATCTGCTACCCATCTCGTACCGATCCTGTTTCTTCTAGCTTAAGAGGCAGCTTCATGTATTGTACCTTACCCTCCAGTCCTTGGAGACCTGGAGAGAGCAGTCTCACAAAAACATGCTCTGCTTAAGGCCTTATCCTAAAGGGATGTAATGAGGGAATAATTAACGGAGGCAATCCCTGCCAGTTCTCACCAAAACAAGTACCCAGTGGAAGTCTGCATTTCTCATAAAAACACCAAACACTGCACGGCATCAGATCCCCACCCCACCACCCACCACGTTATCTTTGAAAGCACTGTAGCTAGCAATAGGCAAAGAAATCCGAAAATCAGGCATCTGACTGGATTTTATGCATATTTACCCTTGTAGAATTTAGAGGGTAGTTTGGTCTCTGCATGTGGATATTAGCAAAGGGGTATTGGCACTCGTTGCTTATAAGGTACTGCAGTTATATTCTGAAATATCTGTATTTATTTTTATGTAATTGGCTTCTGGTATATTTAAAAGAACAGTGGTAGACAAGTCTCATACAATCAGTTAGGTTTCCTATAATTGTTCCTGTGGATAAAATAAGGTAGCTGTAATACTTTGGAGGCCAAATAAAGTACTGTTTCAGAAATTACAAACGATCTAGCTAACAAATGTTATTTTTCGTGCATATCTTTTGGAGATTTCATCAGCCACTTAAAAAATTGAAAATCCCAGAGCAGACAGTGCCTGGGCCAGCTCTGGTTATCACAGCTACCTTCAAACAGAACAAAAAAAGATGCATGTGTGAGACTGATGGTTTGAGGGATTTTTTGGTATTTGTTATGCATGCCCACATGAAGCATTTTGATATGAAGCTCTTGAATCCTTAATTTCAACCCTACAGCTGTATAGCTGGGGATAAGCAGGTCTAGGAAGACATGGAAGCCCTGGCATGCTTTTCTAAAGTTAGCAAAATTCTCAAAATGCCTCAGATAGATAGATAGAAAAAAAGGAAGATCTGGAGAAGTGCTCTCTGTGTGGTTGCTCTGAAGCCTTATATCACTCTGCTTCAACAGCCTTCCTAATAAAAGTTGATTTTCTAGCAGCCTGATGATGAATTTACAAGCTAGGTAGGTAATTACATAAACAACTGAAGTATTCACTGCAGAGTCGAAAAAACAGTTGTTAAAAAATGGCACTAACCCAGGCAGACCACTGGAGTTGCAAGGGAGGACATTTTAGAGCAGTGATTTCCAGATTGGAGGCTGAGACCCAAGAAATGCAGCTGTAAGTTCCCTGGTGAGTGGGGCAGCTCTGGTTTGGGGTATAAATGTGCATAATCCACTGGAAGCACATGGTAGTTAAGTGCTGGAAAAACCAGCAAGAAGAGCTCAGTGGTCAGATCTTCTCCAAATACATAAGAAAAAGTTTGGCAGAATCCTTGTTCATTTGCAAACATTTATGAAGAAATTGCTCAGCTCTAGGAGTAAGGAGGAGAGGAAGGCAAGGTGATGAAAGCAATTGAGATGGTGCCTTTTTGACAAATGCTAACTCCTGCTGCTATGACTAAGGTGAATCCTGTGATGGTCATTACCAAGTAAGGAGTCACCTCATAGACTCGTACTTGCTGTGGAAATTGGCAGGTTTAACATTTCATTTAGAAACCAGCAAAGAAGAATTTCGATACGTTTTTCCCTGGAGGTTCGGTAGATTCCTGAGCTGCCAAGTTTGCTTGCCTTGGGAAGTCTTGGACACTGGGATGCCAGGAGCTAGGGATGCTGCAGGGCTTCAACACTGGGAGCTGGCTCTCCCACTACTTCCAGTCTCCTGGTTAGCCCTTCCTGGCTGAGGAGCAGCCCAGGCAAGCAGGCAGAAAGCCATGCAAGGTCCGGCTCTGCTGTCTGCCAGAGCCCTGAGGAAATGGATGCAGTGCCACAGAAAGTTACAGGTTAAAGAAATAGGAGTCTCCCGGTTTGAAAGATGGCTGCTCTGTGGGAAAGTCTCCAGCTAGCGCTACTTGGGAGCCTGCAGTTCTGGAAGGGTTTTTTTTTCTGCTCATTTCTCTTTTGTTCTGTTTTTAAGTCGGACAAACTCCTTTATGCACTCCACACTGCTGACCCTCCGTGTTTAGATTTTGCTCTTTTTAAATAATGAGGAGAAAATAAAGAGAATAGCAGCTTCCAACTTTTGTGAAATGCTTTTGAAGGCAGAAGTGCAGTGAAGGCCAGGCCACATATGATATGGAAGTGGGAGACATTATCAGGGTCATGCTGGGTGGCCAAAGAACGTTATTTACCTACATCTGGATGATCGTCTGCCTCCACCTGCCACAAATGTGATACAGAGAGATGGCATCTTCCAGCTGAAAAATTGGTGTGACTTGCTCTTTATTTCAGATGCACAGGTGCTGCAAAATTTCGTTATCCCTCTCACTTTATTTCAGATTGCATCTCTCACTGACACAGGCACTAAGCAAAATGTGAGTTACTGGCTGTCAGAGGAATGATCTGATAGCTGTCCTGTGGCATGCAGCAATGCCTCATTCCATTCAAGATTTTTTTTTCTTCTCTTTTAAGCTAAGCAAGGTCACACTGAGCCATTTCTTGCATGGAAGAATGCTGCCATCACAAATGCAGAGGTACTGCAGGAATCAGTGCTGGTGTCACTGAGCTCCCACACCAGTTCAACAAGGCATGCAGAGTTGTTTAAAGTACTTTAAAGTATTTTTTTTTTTTTAATCTGGGGTCCTGATCACACAGTATAGCACCCTTTTTTTTTTTTAACAAGCGGTAGTATTCATAAGTGCAAATCATAGAATCATAGAGTCGTCTAGGTTGGAAAAGACCTTTAAGGTCATCTAGCCCAACCATTAACCTAGCACTGCCATCCCACCACTAAACCATGTCCCTAAGCACCTCATCTACCCATCTTTTAAATACCTCCAGGGACGGGCACTCGACCACCTCCCTGGGCAGCCTGTTCTAGAGCCTGACAACCCTTTCTGTGACGAAATTTTTCCTGATGTCCAACCTAAACCTGCCCTGGCGCAGCTTCAGACCATTTCCTCTCATCCTATCGTCCCTTACCAGGGGGGAAGAGGCTGACCCCAAATGTAGGGAATCACATCAGTTCTGTCTGCTGGAGCTCTTGTTGCGTCACAAATGAATTAAATGAACATGAAACACATGTTTTCTGTCATTCCTGTCCTAATATTTTGGGTAGCATTTCTGTGAAGAGTGCAATAGCTGTGCCATGCCACCTCACAGATGGATGAGGTGGTCTTTTCAGGTCACAGCTAGTGTTAGCAAACCACACTGAGATTCTCATGAGTTGTTGGGCAGGTGCCCTGCAGCTCATGGCTTTTTTTTTTTTATGACCCTAAGTGCTCTCAACAGCATCCCGTTGATCAGTGGGAAGATAAGCTTTGTCTTTTCCTCTGTGATAGCAACTGTAGAGGGATTGTTTTGTCTTGCCTAGAAGATTTTGAACAAACAAAATATATTTAAAACAGTGTAAGCCTTGCAACAAGTAGTGTCTTGAAATGCTCACGAGAACATACAGTGTAGTCTCATTGGATAATGAGATACATGGATATAGGTTACATTACCTGGATACAGGTAATTGCTGTTCTGCTGAGCTCTTTGTACTCTGGTTACATAGCTGTGATGGAAACGATTTTATAAATTATGTAGCACTACAAATACTTACGGATCTGCTACAAAAGAGAAATTAAGCCTGGGGGGCAGCAAAATATTTATCAAAATAATGTGATTTTCTCTGCTTCAGGTTATTCACAGATTCTTTTTTAACCTTTTTTTCTTCATATCAAACCTAACAAGAAATTGTGTGAAATGTAAAGACATATACAGTAGAAATGTTCTAATTGAGATGGTGGAAAAGAGACAAAATCAGGATTTGGGGGTCTGTGAACTCAAAAGCCCCTTTGTCTTTTCCACCTGTTTTGGCTGGTCTAATGACAGATACAGTCTCCTGCTCTGAGTCTTGCCTCAGAGGCTGTCCCCTGGTCCCACAGCGTGGACCTGCAATGCCAGACAGCAAAATGGTTTGTGCTTACGGTGTATCCCTGGCAGAGCCGTCGGCTTTACCTGCAACAGAAACAAACCTCGACTAGCTGCAGGCTCCCCAGGTCTTCATGAACAGCCCAGGCATGTGCTCTGAGGCCTTCAGTGCTTACCAGGAATGACAAACCCTCCACTGATTCCCACTGATGTTGTGATTACAGGACATAAACGCTTCAATGACAAACAGCACGGTGACTAGCAAACCGCCTGTAACACTGCGGCTCGTCGTCCCGGCAAGTCAGTGTGGGTCCCTTATAGGAAAAGGAGGTTCCAAAATCAAAGAAATCAGGGAGGTAAGTCTTGGGATGTCTGCTGCGAGCACTGGCTGGCTCGGCATCCTACCGCAGTGTGCCCTGCCACCACCGGCCGCTGCACTTCACTTATCGCGCGAACGTGAGCTTGTGCTGAGTGAAAAGCCTGGAAAAGCCTTGCTCTGGGGGAAGCAGGTACAGCTGTGCTGTACCCTCTACCTTCCTTGGAGCTAAGGACTGTGTGTGAAATAAAGAAACAGCTTTACGACATATTAGGCTCTGATGCACAGTTTAGCAAAGCAACAGGCTAGAGACAGAAATGGGTCATCCAGTTTCTCTTCTGGCACAACCCCCTCCCCAGCAATACTCAGGTGATTCCAAGTTGGAGCATCGCGGCCATTTCCAAATTAGCTACCACCCTTGCAGCCTGTGAAAGGCCCAAGTAGCCCTGGGGAGTCCAGGTTAGTAGATCAAATGCTTGATCTACTTTTTAGAAAAAATGTATTTTCATACTCCTTTCCTATTTCTCCCTAACCTCACTGTGCCACAGGTGACCTGTTTTCATGTATTCCAAACCCATGTTGATTTTTTTTTTTCATTCAGACTTTATCTAGAGGTATTCATTCAATGTGTTGTGCTAGCAGACACTTTTTCCTTCAACCAGAAAATGCAAAAATTATCATACGGTGCCAGTTTTAATTCTTCCATGCATGTCTGTAACAACATAGCACATGGCACCCCAAGGATTCAATGTTTGTAATCAGTCAAGCAAGAAAATTAGGTACATGCTTAGTTATGTAGAGAAAATCTGAATAGGACATTTCAGAAAAATGGATTTTTATTCTGGAGAAAGTGACAGTGCTCCTTCTAAACTTGTATTCATTCCAACATGGGATGAGGTGTTGAATATCAAGATAACAGGCTGATCAATTTTTTTTCATTTGAGTATGTCAGAACAGAAGCTTTTTGACAGGCTTTACCAAAGTGAAATTTCCTTTTTTTATCTAAAATGTCGATTCAAGACAGTAGGACAGTGAGGTTTTGCATTTCATTTCAAATATGAAAAAAAGTTGATGGATATTTTTCTATCAAAGAAAATTTGATTCAATGTCAAAAAAGAGTGGAAAATCCTTTGATCAAAATTTTATATCCAGCATTTTCTATGAAATGTTAGTTTATGGTAGCCTTGGAAGAAAAGGTGATTATAGAGGATAGTTAAGGGTCTCATCCTGTTGACTTTCAAGTTCTTCCAAATAATTTCATTTCGATTCCAATTTGATTTGTCCCAGGATTTTTTTTAACAAAGTTCCCTCTGAAGGTTTATCTTCACCTTTCAGGATTTGGCTGCTGCCGAAAGGGTCTTTTCTCTCCTTGCAGTAAAGGGAAGCAAAAGCAGTGTGTATCGCTCCCATTAGCTGACAGAGCTGCCAAAAGCTGTTTCAGAGTTTGTGTTGCCAAGCGAAGAGCATGTTGTTCCTCCACGTGCCTCTTGCTTTGGAAACTGGTTTCATGAAAACATGCATAGGTTGTCTGCTGTAAACTCACAGAAAAACAGTTCAGAGCCCTGCCATTTGAAGGGGGTCTCTCTGCTTACTGAGACCCGCAAATAAAAGGCCATTACAAATCAGATTTTTTTTTTCTTGGAATGCTGTTACTTTATTTTTCATCCAAGAGTCCAGGAGCTGTTCCTCTCAGGAGTCCTTATTGATAAACCAGCTTTTGAGATGTGGGAGAAAGGAGTCACTTGATGACACTGAGGGGAAGGAAACATTACTTCTGTGCAGATGTTAGGGTCATAGAAAACCTTCTCTCTTTTTTTCTTTAATCCCAAAAACACCTTGTCGGAGAATCACAGAATGGCAGGGGTTGGAAGGGACCTCAGGAGATCATCTAGTCCAACCCCCCTGCTAAAGCAGGATCACCTAGAGCAGGTTGCACAGGACATCGTCCAGGCAGGTTTTGAATATCTCCAGAGAAGGAGCCTCCACAGCCCCCCCTGGGCAGCCTGTGCCAGTGCTCTGATAACTTTGTGTAGATGGGAGAAGATGCTTGTGTGTTGAAGTGCATTTCAAGGTGGAAGGAAGGTGTTCGGCTTGCCTTAGGCACAGGACACTTCTGGCCCAGATTCTGCATGACTGCTGGGCTGTTGGTGTTTGCAGCCTGTGAGTCAGGAGTCCTGCCAAGCCGCTGCACATTCTCGCCCTGGCAGGCAGCAGGCGAAGCCAGGCGAAAGCCTTGCCACCAGAGAAGGCAGAGCTACTGTCGGAGCACATGGTCGGAGGCGACCTCAGGTGTCCAGGAGAACTGTCTGGCAGAAGGAATCCAGCCGATTCCTTAGTTGTGTTAAAATAGGAGCAGGCATGAGTGTGAACCGTGTGCTGACGAGTTCTTAGCTCTAGGTTTTACAGCTGCTGATACTTTGGATTTTGTTGTAAATATTGGTAACCTCATCCAGAGCACTGGGTGAGTGTTTTTAGGACTTAGGTTTTTAAAGGTGAGATTGGTCTGTTGGTCGGTGTACATTAAATGACTGAAGTGATTATTCTGGTGAGCATGGTTTCAGAAGCAATTACCCACTGGTGTAGTAAAAAGGAAGTAAAAGGACAGTTTGGCCAAATAGGTGTTTTGATAAGGCTACTGTAGTGAGAAGTCACGCTGCACATTTTCTTAAGCATAAGGGTAATAGGCAAAATATTACTCATTTTTTCGTTGCTGACATATGACCAAAGTCAAAGAATAAACAAGATTGGCACTGGAAGGAAATGTATAAATGACTGCAGTATTTGGCAGAGTATTTTGTGCTAGATGTACAGATACCCAGAACTGTACATTCAGCAGCAAATACAATCAAACAGAAAAAAAGGAGCATCCAGCTCAAGATGTAGCCTAATTTCATCATCACACACAACACACTGAGCAGCAGTTGCATGAGGGATGGTCTCTTGTATTCAGTCATGTGCCCAGGAACAACACGTAGGGTTGCTGTACTATTTTCAAGATAAGATTACAAAAAAGAAAAAAAAAAAAAAGAAGAAAAGCATGACTGATTGATCAAATTATGGCAAAATTCCAAAGCCCGTTACAGAGCAAGGAATTGGTATTGTGGCCTTAAACGGCACTAGTGAACAGAAGATGCAATCAGTAATTTAATCAGTCTCTGGAAAGAATAACATGTGTTGTATGTAACCAGCTGGAAAACAAATTAACTCCTTGCTGACTGACACAAAGTTAATGGTTTACCAAAAACACTTTTTTTAAAAAGCCCAAAATTTTGCATCAGAATAACAGTCAGGAGTAGATTTTGTTTGGAATACGTGAAAGCACTTGCTCAAAATGAAATGCCTGGATTTTTTTCTGTTGACTAAAAAGGTCTTTCAGGATGTTTGTGAAATAATGCCAGGGATTGTTTTGGCCTCATATATTTTTTTCTGTCTTTGGGGTGGGGTTTTTTTGGTTAACTAAGATGCATTAGTGCCAAGATCAAATTTAAAAAAAATAAAACAAAACCGGCTCATTACCTCCTTGTGTTCATTAATGAGCTAAAATTTGATGATGTGCATATATTTAATCAACACTAATTATAATGTAGAAGTGCTTCTGTACCATCCTGAAATATTCCAGAGCATAAGGCAGCCCCGAATTTCATCCAGAGAAACAAGTCAGCCATCAGTGGATTAATGAGCCATTGATCTGCAACTCATTTGATTAGCAGACCTTCTTCAGTTATCAGCATTTTTTTCCTTTCTTTTTTTTTTTAATTATTGAAAAGCACTTCATTTCACCTTTTTCTTTTTTTAAGTCAGCATTGCAACTATCTTTCTTTGAGCGGGTTAAAAGACTTGTCCTGAAATTCGGGTCACAATTTGATTTGCTAACAGCTACTGAGGACTAATCTTCCTAGGACGGGAGTGTTTGCAGATTGGCTTGAACAGGCAAATCCATGTCCTGCCAGACCCCAATTACCCTGTCTGGGCATGGGTTTACATCTGCGTGCTACCAGGTAGCTAGCAAAGAAAAGACAAGAAGTTGGGAGGTGCATCCCCTCCATCACGTCAGTGAAAACACAAAAAGTTAGTTGGGAGGTGCATCCCCTCCATTACATCAGTGAATCACTGGCTTTTGAGAAGTGCCGCTGCCGGCCTGACAGTGACGCTCTCTTTGCTTTGTCTCTGCTCAAGTCCACAGGAGCCCAGGTGCAGGTAGCGGGGGACATGTTGCCGAACTCGACGGAGCGTGCAGTGACTATTTCCGGCACCCCCGACGCCATTATCCAGTGTGTGAAACAAATATGCGTGGTTATGCTGGAGGTGAGTGAGTGCTTGGTGTATCACCTCTCGCTCGGGAGATGCTCAAACACGTTATTAATTTTCAATTGCCCTGCGTTCCCCAGAGGTGCTGCCTGCCCTTCCAGTGCCAGGGATTTCAAGGGGACTCTGTTAGACCATGCCCTTCCTGGTGTTTGAGAGTCTCTTGCAGGAGGGTTTCGAAATCAAAGACTAGGACTGTCATGACACCGTCAAACAGCAGACCAAGTCCAGCATGGAGCTGCAGCCTGCTCTGAGAGAAAACCATTTTATTCTGAGGCAGAATAGGGCAGAAAACATCTAGGTCTTGTTTTAAATAGAAGTAATTCTGACTAGTGTAATTTAGGTTTAGCAGGTCCTTTTAGGGTCAGGTCATTGCATAAGGCCAGGATGTTACATTTTGATAGCAGTTTTTTAGCTCTTTGATCAAATGATACAAAATTAATTTATATAAAAATCTGGACATTTTAACCCTTGCTGAAAATGCCCATAATTTTGCGCAAGTACATTTCTCAACTGATTAAGTTGAATAGAAGTTTGAAAAAAAAAAAAACCCCAGCAAATCAAAATTAAATATTTTGACCTAGTAACCATAATTTTTGGCAAGAAACATGAAACATCTCTGCTTTTATCACATTTTCTGCTGGAAAAATTTCTGCGGTTTTTTGTTTTGGTTTGGCTTTTTACCTAAGTCTTGTCAAGGGCTGTCTCATGATGATCTCTGCCACCTTACTGTTCTGTTATTCTTTAAAGAGAAGAGAAACAGTGCAGTGTTGGAGACAGCACTATGGCTGTTGGCTGTTCAGAAGTATGCAATGCATCAAAATGGCATACAGCCTTTGCATCAAAATGTCACACAGCCTAATGCAAATAAAAGCATAAAAGCTAATAAATCCCCAGTATTTTACTGGGGAAAAGTGGCTCTTGCTTCAGTTTTTGCTGGACTACCGTGAGGAGGGAATTTCTTTCTCAAAATGCAAGAGAACAGAAAGGTAATATTAAAATATAACTTTAGTTTGTTAGAAGTAGACTACGTGATGGCAATAGTTACCAGCTTTGTGAATACAGAGTGTGGTCTATTGTCCAAGTGACATTCGTGGCATAAATAGTTATTTGCTAAAGGAGATGAGAGAAGCCACTTTTCAAAATCAGAGAGACGCAGTCCTATTTTCCCACAGGTAGAGCCACTTTTTGAGTAACCAGTTTTGCCGTAAGAAGTACTTCATTTTAGGATTAGACAAATCACAAGCAGCACTAAGACGACACTGGCTTAACTATAGTTTCCTGCTTCAAACAGGAATGTGTTCTAATTTGCAGCATATATTTAATTTGGCAACAAACACTTTCATTGACATGAAATAGCTAATTATTAATTATTAATTAATGGAAGCGATATTGTTGGTACCTTCTTTAGTTGTCGTTAATGCACTGAAATCAGGGCACAGTTCTGCTAGGTGTTGCATAGACAGCTTGAAGCCTTTTTTACAGACACATGCTCCTCCTTTAATTTACAAGAAGAAAGTTAGCCTCACTCAGGGGTTTTCCCTTTGGGTCCTTGCCTTGGGCTACAGGGAACAAACTCCCTTTTCAT